TCAGGATGATGTACAAGTTGGAGACCAAGTTGTTAAGGATCAGATTTTCATAGAAGCAACTAGAGAAGGAAGTATCTCCTTTCTACTTGCAAAATTTGATGGCATATTTGGGCTTGGGTTTCAAGAAATTTCAGTTGGAAACGCTACTCCTGTATGGTAAGCTGTAAGCCAACCTCTATTAAACTACAGACTAATGTTAGTGACACTAAGCTCCCATGTCTTAAATTGGATTAGCCAAAAATAGCTTTCCTTTCTCGTTCTTCTGGTGGGTTACTAGATGTCCTGATTACAAAATTCGATGTAGGTATAATATGGTGGAACAAGAACTCGTAAAAGACCCAGTTTTCTCATTCTGGCTCAATAGAGACACAACAGCAGAAATTGGCGGGGAATTAGTCTTTGGAGGAGTTGATGAGAAACATTACAAGGGAAAGCATACTTATGTGCCATTAACTGAGAAAGGTTACTGGCAGGTAAGAGAGAAAATAACTGAGATTCATTATATATTTCTTTTAATGATGACTTATGCCATGTATACTTGACTGTTTTTAATACGTGCACTTCCATTTCTTCATTTCAGTTTGATATGGGAGATTTCTTGATTGGAAACTACTCAACAGGTAAGTTCAAATGATGCTATGATCCATATGGTTTTTACATATCTAGAGGGTTAAAAGGAAATTTTGGGATAAAAAAAATTTCTTCCTAGTATTATTTCTCTTAAATGTTCTACAGAAATTTTGCAACCACTGAACCACATACTTGGAAAACCTTTCGTTAGTCTTTTAACATCGTGGTAAATTCTATTGTTGATTTCTTCAGGTTTCTGTGATGGGGGTTGTGCTGCTATTGTAGACTCAGGAACATCACTACTTGCAGGACCAACGGTAAGCCTGTTTGTTTCTTTACTTTTTCTTAAGTCCGGACCCATTCTCATATATCTTCTTCCTGCTTTTTCACTCTCCATCATCTCCATACAAAAAGTAGATAACTTGAATACTGGACTGGGAGGGAGTAACCTTTATGAATGTCTTGGTTAAACTTCTTATTGTTATTGCTTTCCTTCCCCTACTTAATCGAAATCTCCTTCAGACACTTTTATTGCTGCAATTGTTTTGCTGGATCATTTTCCCTCACGAGTCTATTTATTTCAGCATGTTGTTACTGAAATCAACCATGCGATTGGGGCTGAAGGTGTTATAAGCAACGAATGCAAAGACATTGTAGCTCAGTATGGAGATATGATTTGGGATCTTTTGGTGGCAGGGGTTTGTTTACTGTTTCCCTTTTATTTACCTTGGTTTGGACAATTACGTAATTCTGTCTTAACTTGAAAAACATTCCTAATTGGAGTATTGGTTGTGCAGGTAGATCCAAATAAAGTATGCTCTCAGCTTAACTTGTGCACCATGCAGAACAGGTTAGACCGTTATAATATCGCAACATATTCATAATTTATTTTGTATCAGCGCCAAACTTAGGATACACAAGACCTAGGATTGAATTCTAACTACATCATTGCCCTTTGTAGCCCCTTGATCACTTTTGATCCCAAGATTAAAATTAATCCTTGGAAAGATTGACCACAATTTCAGGCTCTTTTTTGCCCTTACTGTTTCCCTTTTTCTGATTTACATCCCAAACCAAGAGAAATTTCCATTGAGGACCCTTTCAGATGATTGATACAATTTTATATTGCTTGTCTCTGCAAATTTTCCTTCACAATCTCAGTTTTCTTTTAATGAAGCCTTTTTTAGTAGAAGAATTTAGAACATCAATTTAAGGTAGGGTGGGAATGATCAAAATGAGTCCTCATCATACTGAACCATTTTTATTTCCAGTGCTGGTATTGAATCAGTTGTAGAAAGAGAGAACAAGAAGGATGTCTCAAGTTTAGATCCCTTATTCTGCACTGCATGTCAGATGACTGTGGTTTGGATTCGGAACCAATTGAGAGAAGAAGTGACCAAGGAGTCTGTACTCAACTATGTGAACAAGGTAATGTGTTCTTGACATACCGCTTGCTGAAGTATTAATCTGCCTCACTATCCATTATTAACTTTTTACAAGACTTTGAACAAAATATATACTTGTGCAGCTTTGCAATAGCCTACCAAGTCCAAACCAAGAATCAGTTATCGACTGCGACAGCATCCCCCTCTTGCCAAATGTGACGTTCACAATTGCTAATAAAGCTTTCAACCTAACCCCTGAACAGGTTTGGTTTTGTTTGTACTTTTATCTTTTAATTTTCTTAAAAGTTTAACACATAAACCCAACTAATGGTGACCTATCAACTTTGTTTACAAAATTAATGGCACTGGAATTTCCTTTAATGTGGGACAACTTGTATATATATATATATGGGGCTCAGCAACAATTGTCTAAAATTTCCCAACCTCAAACAACGGCAATTTGTCTTGTTAATCGGTATTTAATTGAACTAGATAAAGTATTTCATACTGGAGTCGTGAGAGCTTGTAATGAAAATTTAGCATTGATTACTAGGAGAATATGATAAATAAGGTCTTGTTTCGTGTAAATTGGCCAATAGATGTTGGATGCTTGATGTATTTCTCTGATTTTATTAAGAAACACTGACATATGAAGTCCTAAACTCATCACTAACACCATTTTCTGAACTCGCAGTACATCATGAAAACCGGAGAAGGTTTTGCAACTGTCTGTCTTAGCGGATTCATGGCATTTGATGTGGCTCCTCCCAGGGGTCCTCTGTGGTACGCTTTGCTTAGATCATCATACAACTAAGCATGGACTTCCATTGCTTCTTTCTTACAATGATGTGCTTATTCTTTTGCAGGATCCTTGGAGATATTTTCATGGGAGCTTATCACACTGTCTTTGACTACGGTAATCTTCAGTTAGGTTTCGCTGAAGCTGCTTGATTGGCTTATTGAATCCCTGCTTGTCCCATGTTATTATAGTTGTGTAATAGTATTAGTGGTTGTTTAGATGTTGTAAACTAAAAATGGCAGAATACAGCATTTATAGTTATTATGTGCTGCTGGTGTTCTGTACCCTTTTATGTAACATAAATTAATGCAGTTTGATGCAAATTTAGTCTGCTGACACCAATAAATGGCCCCTCTTATCGTAAGTTGCTGCTCATTTTGAGCAAAAAAAAGGTTATATGTTGGTTTCATTCGAGCAGGAGTGCTGATGCACGCCCTTATTATCGCCTTGATGTGTTCTTCGCCTACACATTTCTGAAGGCAAGTCAATTCTAATATGAACTGCATCCTTGGTTTAATGTTCTCAAACATTCAATATTGTTTTGGAAAATTGGCTTAAAATAATATCTATTATCAACGGTGTGTGCAAAATAATACGAACTCAACTATTTGCTATTAGCGGTACTACCTTTTTACTCTATGTGCAAAATAGTACGCTAGTCAGCGAAAAGTATTTCGAGGAATATTTCGTTTTTATATATTATTATTCTATTCTTTTTATTAATTTTATGTTTCTTTCCAATTTAAATATTATGTTAACAATTTCCTACATAATCCAAATTAAAATGCCCCACAATAGTAGATATCAAAATAAACTGCATTTAACTACCCCATTTACTACTATGTGGTAGTAAAAATTACTACAGGTATTTTGAAAATAAAATATTCAAATACATATTGACAATTTAAAAAAAAAAAAGCCTAACAAAGGGGTGGTGTAATGCCCTGTATTTTTGAAACGTATTTTCTAATTAATTAATTAATTAATTATTATTTTCTAAAAAGGGTATTTTTGTAATTATTTTACTATTTGAAATCTAGGAGCCAAAATAATATTTGAATTTTGACGGCAAAAGCATTTTAAAACTCAATTATTATTTTTGGATTTTGGATAAGATTTATTATCCACTTATTTTATTTAAAAACCGGACTATATATACAAATTTCGGATATTTTAATTAAACAAATTATATTTTATTATTTATTTAATTAGGGCCAAATTTCCTAATTAATTAGCTAGGAATTTTCGGATTTTTAGTGAAGAAAATCTGATTTTTTCTTAGTTAATTTAATTGGTGAATAATTGGTAATTTTCTAATTAATTATTTTATACAAAATATATTATTTACACAATCATTTTCATCCTTAAAATCTAGCAAAATAATTTCCTAAATTCTACATAAGGGGTCTGAAAATTTGAGCTATGGACGAAACCTTGTAAATCAGTCCCAAATTTAATCCAATTAAAAAAAAAAAAATGTCTCCGACGACCAACTCTCCAGAACTAGATCTACAGTCAGTCAGCCACCTCTCCGACGACCACCGATCCGCCGATCACCACAACGGTACATTTCGTCTTCCCGCGATCAACCACAAGGCTTCTTCGTTCCACCACCGAAAAGGACGAGAAAGGAGAAACTCTAACACCACCGGCCTTCCTCTTCGTCTTCTTCTTCAACACCAATGGCGAAACGCCCCCGACGCCGCTTCGTGCCTCTTCGCGGCGATAACAAAATGATACCCTAGCAGAAAAAGAGTTTAAATTAGGGTCATATCAACCCCTTAGGGAAATCCTCTTCTTTGCGGAAGCAATTTTAACCACCATAAGTGGTGGTGGCGACGGTGGTCTGTAGTATAGATTTCATGGAGGAAGAAGGTGGGTTGCTGTAATGGAAGAATGAAGAAGGAAGGAAGAAAGGGATGATACTTAGAGCATCCACAATCTATTAAGCTATACTAAAAGCGAATCCTTCCACGACATTTGTCATTACCTTGTGAAAAATTCTCCCGCCTTATAACGGAGGTATGCGAAGGTAGGGTCAAGTGTCTATTTTTTTTTATTTTTTTATTTTGTTGCAAAATCTTTAAGTAAACTATTTATACATCATGTATTTTCTTTCCAGTTTGACAATCATATTTCATATATACCCAAATGAAATATTTCTGAATATCCTTTATATACTTTATATTTTGTAATATTATTGTCAAAAATATTTACAATCGTGCATTGCACGGGATTATAACCTAGTGATAGTATAAAATAACTTGCTTGCAATTTAGAAATAGTTAGAGCTACATGCTCACCATTGTAGAGTTACATGCTCACCATTGTGGAGCTACAAGGTTTTGCTCCACCGAATGCACTTTTATATATTTGTTTTATTTTGATGTATTTGTTTTATGTATTTTTATTTTTTTTTGGTTTATTATTATTAATCCCAATTACAAAAATAAGTAGCTAACCATTGTGAAGATTGTAACTTAGACGTTGTAGCTTATTTTAACTAAGAAAATAATGATATGGCAATTGCTTGCTACAAACGCATGTAGCTAGCCATTATAGATGCTCTTACAAAATTATCCTTAATTAAATAGTTAAATTGACCATTATACCCCCTGATTTACATAGCTTGTCAATCAACCCGATTAAATATTTCCTCCCCCAACGGCCCAAACCCCCCCACCCCAAAAAAAAACAAAAAAAAGCCAAAGCAGATGAAAAAAAAAAAAAAAAAAAAAAAAAAAAAAAAAAAGCAGACGAGAAAGAAAGAGAAAAGTCCCATTGATAATACAAGTTAGATCTTGTGAAGTTGCAGAGTGCTAAAACCTGCACCTAGTACCCTTTTCCCTTCTCTCTCCTTTGACCAAGAAAGATGTTAGAGAAGATTGGATTACCTCCAAAACCCTCATTACGGGGTAACACTTGGGTTCTAGATGCTTCTCATTGTCAATCTTGCTCTTCCCAGTTCACTTTCCTCAATCGCAAGGTTCTTCCCTTTTCATTCGATTATCCTAATTTGTTTTGTTGTTTGAATGTTTTTAAAGAGTTTCTTTGGTGTTTATGTTTGAATTTTTGATGTGGGTATTCCCCAAATTAGAATATTTCTTGTTGATTTTGATGAAATCGGATATGATCCTGTGTAATTTGTTAATTTCAATGATTTTGATGATGATTGATATACCCAGTTTTTAATTTTGTCTTGTTTTGATCATTAAAATCAATTACTTGTATTATCTGTAATTCTGTATTTGTTGTTTTAGGTTATATAGTGTATCAGCTTTGTGGATCATTATTTTGAAGTAGGGTGTTGTATATATATATATTTTTTCCAGCATCATTGTCGAAGATGTGGAGGATTGTTTTGCAATAGTTGCACTCAGAGTCGAATGGTGTTGCGGGGCCAAGGCGATTCCCCGGTTCGTGTTTGTGAAGCTTGTAAGAAACTAGAGGAGTCTGCTCGGTTTGAGCTACGGCATGGACATAAGAATCGAGCTGGGAAAGGTACTAGCTCTCATTTTGCATGCTTATTGCATATGAAACTAGAGTAGGATTGGTATTTTCCTTCGTTTTGATAGTTGTGTTGCTTTGCATTTGTTATTGACATGCCTGTGGCAAGGCTCTCTTATGGAAAAGCCGAGTTTTTATTTTTTCGGGGTTTAGGGGGGAGGGTCGGAAGGTTATATGATAGCATAATTGTCATAGTGACTTTGATTAGGCGCTTTAACATTAGATAATAACATAACATACGATACTAGAATAATCAAATGCCTTGTAGTTCCTGCTGAGTAAGGAGGGGGGTTGGGGGGGGGGGTGGTGGAATACCTGTATTGCTAAGAAGCTGTTTCGGGTCACAACAATGTAGAATTTAGTGGATAGTCTGATGAGATATTGTGTAAACAATGTTACGGCTTAACCTTAGGTATCCTCTATTAGTTAAATGTTTAGCACATATTCAACTGTGAATTGTGACTCAAATTTGAAATTGTTTCATAAAAACGATAATTAGTTGAGTACCATGTTTCTTTAGAGGTTCTTTCTGGCCTTTTCAAACAGGTGCTTAAAGGTGTGTTTTCAGCTAATGTCGATTGCCTGTGAACAGGATCCTCAAAAGTTGCATCAAGGAGTGTCGATGAAGTTATGAATGAGATTTTGATGAATGATGGGAAAGAATCTGCTAATATGGGATCTGGTAAAGAAATTGCTAGCCAAGATGAGGATGTAGATCTGCTTGGTAATGCATCTAATGGCAGTAATAGCGAGATAGATTCTGCTACCCCCGAAGAATTGCGCCAACAAGCTTTGGATGAAAAGAACAATTATAAGACCCTCAAGGGAGAAGGAAAATCTGCTGAAGCTCTTAAAGCCTTTAAAAGGGCAAAGGAACTTGAGCGTCAAGCAGCTTCTTTGGAACTCCAGTTGAGGAAGAACAGGAAAAAGGCTTTGAATTCTAGGAGCTCGTCTGAGACACAGAAAAACCAAGGCACGTCTCCTGAATCAGGTAAAAGAGATAACTCCACTAATGTTAAGGAAAAGGATGATCTCACAGCAGAACTCAAAGAACTTGGATGGTCTGATGTGGATATTCATGGTGCTAGTAAGAACCCTGCCCCAACTAGCTTAGAAGGTGAGCTCTTTAATCTAATCCAGGATTCTGGCGATATGAGTCGCACTAAAGTGTCTTCTGGTTTAGACAAGACTCAAGCTATTGCCCTGAAAAAAAAGGCTCTCATGCTTAAGCGTGAGGGGAAACTTGCTGAAGCCAAGGAAGAACTAAAGAGAGCAAAAATATTAGAGAAGCAACTAGAGGAACAGGAATTCTTGGCTGATGCTGATGAATCTGATGATGAGCTCTCTGCTTTGATGCGTAGTTTGGATAAGGATGAGAAAAAGGATTTTTCTGCTGGTTTTGATATGGATTCTGCATTTGACTTGAGTAATCTCTCAGTCTTCGGTGGTGATGTCAGTATTGATGAGAACTTTGAAGTTACAGACGATGACATACACGATCCAGAAATGGCTGCTGCCTTGCAATCGCTAGGTTGGACTGAGGAGCCTACTCAATTTGATGACATTGTGCCCCCGTCCACTTCTGTTGATAGAAAAGCACTTTCAGACGAGATCCTTAAGTTGAAAAAAGAAGCTGTAAGCCAGAAACGATTAGGGAATATGGCAGAGGCAATGTCACTGCTGAAGAGGGCCAAAGCTCTTGAAAAAGACCTAGAAAAGTTCGATGTTAACACTGACGCACATGATTTGAGCGCCGAAAAAGATCATGAATCAGGTGCATTGCACACTAGAACTTCTAACATAATTCCCAATAACGACAGAAAACCACCGGTGAAGAGTAGATTCTTGATTCAGAAGGAGCTTCTGGCACTGAAAAAGAAGGCTCTTGCTTTAAGAAGGGAAGGGAAACTAGAGGAGGCTGATAATGAACTGAAGAAAGGAAAAGTCCTTGAGCAGCAACTAGAGGAGATGGATAACCCTGCTAGGGTGGACACTCCATTAAATGTTGGCTATGAAGTATCAGAGCCAGTAGTTGAGCCCCTTGATTTATCTTCCTCTCCTGCTCCTGAGGATGAACACAATGATGTGACAGAACAGGATTTGCATGATCCGGCATATCTTTCTCTCCTGAAGAACTTAGGTTGGCAGGATGAAGACAATGCAAGTATGATGCCCTCTGCTGAGGTATCCAATAAAAAGGCCGAGGCTTTGGTGGAAAGTAGAGCTATTGATACAATCGGTAAACGAAGAAAGAGTAAATCTGAGATTCAGAGGGAGCTCTTAGGTTTAAAGAGGAAGGCTCTGGCCCTCAGACGTCAAGGACAGGAGACTGAGGCTGAAGAAATGCTTGAAACTGCAAAAAAATTGGAGGAAGAGTTGGCTGAACTGGAAGCACCAAAAGTAGAGATAGCTAATTTCTCTGAACGCCAGGCTGAGGTTGAAGCCGCAATACAAGGAAATCTGCCTGAAGATTCTGAGCCTATGGATATAGGAACTTACCAAACACCTCTCAAAAGACCAGCTGAAGCCAATGATTCCTCAGATAAACGCCAAGTGGTGCAGGCAGCTATTCATGGAGCTAACCTTTCCCCAAGTGTTTCGCCAGAAAACCCAAAAAGTCCAGTGCAGCAAGAGATTCTTTCTCATAAAAGGAAAGCACTTGCATTGAAAAAAGAGGGGAAAATGGCTGAAGCGAAAGAAGAGCTTAGGAAAGCAAAGCAGTTGGAAAGAAATTTGGAGGATGGCAAACCCCAGAATCCTACTGGTCCTGTACCCATGGAAGTCTCTTCTTCTGTTGTGTCTACTACTAGGGAGGAGCATAGCACATTTACTTCCACCCAACCTGAGGAAAGGGATCCTCCCCGTGTGGCCCCAAAACCAATGTCCAACCATGAGCGTTTTAAATTACAGCGCGAGTGCCTTAATCACAAACGGAATGGTTTGAAGCTACGTAGAGAAGGTAGAACTGAAGAAGCAGATGCTGAACTTGAAATAGCCAAGAAACTTGAAGCCCAGCTTGAGGAAGTTAGTCCTCCTAATCCAACCATTCCCACGTTAAATGACGAAGGACCCGCTGGTGATGCTACTGTTGAGGATCTTTTTGACCCTCAGCTCTTATCGGCCCTTAAAGCAATTGGTCTCCAAGATGATAACGTTGTCTCACAGACCCCAGTAAAGGCAGAGCTGCCCACATCAAGCTCCATTAAGAATGAGAGTTTCAATCAAGAGAGAACTCAGCTGGAAGCCCAAATGAAGGCTGAAAAAGTGAAGGCTCTGAACCTTAAACGCTCTGGTAAGCAAGCTGAGGCACTGGATGCTCTTCGTCGATCCAAACAAATGGAAAAGAAGCTTAATTCACTGCCTTCATAACTTCGCATGTACTCTTGAGGATAAATCGGGATAAATTTTGGCTAATTATACAAGAATATGCCAATTCTGCTTGAATTGGATGATGATTACTGTATAGGATTAAATTATTATTACTGAACCAAGCAATTCTGTGAATATTTTCATGAACTCATAGTCTTGGTATCCTGTGAAGGCTTGTGTTCTCTTGTGTGTATTCTGATAGTTTATATCACTATCATCTGTAAGATTATTCTCTGTGAACCTTTTTCTAGTCTGATGAAAATCTTTCATTTCAGCTCCCCGTTACTAAGAGGCTATCAGTGAAACTTGTTGATGCTGAAATACATATAACCAATTTTCTGTTCCAAGTAGAAGGTTTTTTCGTTTGATTTACCAATTTTTTTGTTCATGTATGGTAGTATCTGCATATTGGTGATCTATCTTATATCCTCATTTAGTGCCGATTTTGTCATAAGCAATGGGGGTTTTCCCTCCACCCTTTTCTACAAGACACTATCCATGGGTGAATGATTATCCTCACACTCGTGATTAGTTCCCCAACTCATCACTCCAATCACTTGTACCATCACAGCACCTTCCAATACAGCTCGATATGTCCATAACTGGGGATTCTAATGCGCGTATGACTAGCCCTTTGAGAAATATTATTATTGTGACCTTTTATGCCCTATGCATGTTTGCATGATATTTTATTATATTTTACGTTATATGACTATAACTATTTGCCCTTTGAAATTATGTTAATGTACCTTTTTTTTTTTTTGTGAACATATGTTCAATAAATGCATATTTTGAAGGGTATAATTGACAGTACAAAAATAATCTTGTATAATTTTATGAGGTAGGGATACTACTCCATGCACCACTCACCACCACCCAATCACAACCTGTTATGGTACTATGGCCACACGGCCCACACTCACATATCTACTATCTCTAATCCTCTACAGTCTTTTTTCCCCATCATTTGCAACACTTTCCTTTTTCCATGTGCTTCGTTATTGCTACAGAAAGTACTTAGCTATTTGGTAAAGACACACTATTGTTTTATTATTACTCTCTCCCACTTACCATTATACTACCTCTGTTTCATATTTTTTTGCAACTTTGGGGTGTTATTTATGAGATATAAAATATTTCAAAGTTGCAAAAAATATAAAACGGAAGTAATATTTTTTTTTCAGCTCTCACACTAAACTTAAAACATCTAATATACCCCCACTAAGTAATTATGCCACAAGGAGTGTGCCTTCCAACTCCCATCAAAGAAAATTTGGGGGAGGGGATTCCTTGAAATCCCCTACTCTCAAATTATTTAGCCCACTAACCCAGGTCACGTTGACTTGTGAGGGGTTTCTATCTGGTAGGCCCTTCATTTTCTTACCTACCAAAAAGTGAGAAATAGTGAAAAAAGTGAGAAATAGTGTAAGTGATTCGAGTTTCACACCTAATTTCAAGGGATTATGAGATCGATTCTTGGGACTCTTATAACATCAAAATATAAATCGGTGGGGGTGGGAGAAGTATGTACCCCTAAGAGAGACAGCCTTATCTCCAACAAATATGAGTGTATGTAATTAGGCCATGCAATATTGCAATGAATACTCCTTGTATTTATTGTTGTAATTTCCCCCATTTGTATCTATACTAATGTTTTTCTGACTATCATATTATTCCATTTCTACGAAATTTCTATGATCTTTTCTTGTTATACTCTATTATTGCAAAATTGTCTCATTCCTTTTTTATTATTTTGCATGAAAGATTTTTTATTTTAATAAATTTATGAAATTTCTATTATAGCCTTCATTAAAAATGGGTATTAGAAATTTCTCCCAAATTTTATGTTTTTGTGCATTAATAAGTTTTTGTTTTCTTCCTATAACAACTTATGGGTTTGTGAAAATCAGTCTCAAAAGAGTTGATCAACAACATGAAACAAGTTTTAATTATATTAAATTTGCTAGAAAATTGGGTACAATTGAAGTGGGAAAACGTGCAGAAATTATATATTTGAAGAATTTCATGAATTCCCAATTTTATGGAGAAATTGGAATTGGCACACCACCTCAAAAATTTGCTGTCATTTTTGATACTGCAATTTCCTATCTTTGGGTTCCATCTTCTAAGTGCAATTCTTCTGTAAGTGCATAGAATTAAACTTGCTTTTAAATATTGTAGATAAAGTGTTTATAACAATTGTACTTTAATTTTAATGTTCGAGTTGGTGATCATTTGGTTTACATATATGAAATGCGGGATTTATTAAAGTCATGAAGAACAAAATAGGGAAAGTAAGTTGCTTACACTATTCCCAAAGGTAGTTGGAGCTTGCTTTCAACAAATTTTGCATGCTGATTTAACAATATCTTAAGGGACGTTTGTGTAATAAAAATGTATAGTGCTTAATGAGGAAATAAGGTGAATAGATATGAGAATTTTTTCCTTGTTTTATTTTCCATAGTTTTTTCTTCACTTTTCACTTACAAAGTGATGAAAAAATTGTGGAAACCAATTATAATTATTTATTTGTAGTAATCTTGCTAAAAAAAAACAAGCATACTATGTATATTTAACTTAAGCTATTAATTCATATGTCAAAAAAAGCTCCTTGAACAATAATTTCATTGTAGGAGGCTTGTCAATTTCATCCAAGATATGATTCAAGCCACTCAAGTACATACACAAAGATAGGTAACACTTTAATTTGCATGCTTCAATTCATTATCGTTAATTCATTGACATACTTCGTATAATTTTAGACCATGAATAATTAATACGAAGTATGTAACTAATATGACATTTTATTCCAGGTTCACCACATGAAATTATTTATGAAACAGAGGCAAAACTCAATGGTTTTCTTAGCCAAGATAATGTTGAAATTGGAGATCTACTTGTCAAAAATCAAGTATATTTCTACTTCTTCAAATTTTGATGCTTTTACCACATTTTTGCTTAGCTTGCCCTAACGACGAGTTTCTAAAATTATGCACGCAGATATTCTTTGAAGTAACAAGTGAAGATGGCCTAACATTGGTACATGCTAAATTTGATGGTGTAGTAGGGCTTGCATTTCCAGATAAATCAGAAGGGAACGCCAATCTTATATGGTAAACAGTACTTTATGATTAACAACTCAAAACTCATGAATTTTTACATGATATTTTTCCTGATCTTATCTTATATGGTAAACATGTTAAGCCATCATCAACATACTATCATGCAGGAATACAATGGCAGAACAAAAACTTCTAAAGAAGAAAGTTTTCTCGATCTGGTTTAACACAGATTCAGAAGCAGAATTCGGAGGAGAAGTAGTTTTCGGAGGAGTTGATCCAAATCATTTCAAAGGAAAACATGTTTATGTTCCTGTGACGCCGAACCAGAATGGTATATGGCAGGTCAGTTAGTAAATAAAAGAAGGAAAATGCAGCTAGCATTAACATGAATAATCCGGATTTCCGGAACATACAGTATTGATGAGTTGAGTTTCTGTTCACCGTGGCTTCAGATTGAAATCGGAGAACTCTTCATTGGTAACCAATCATCTGGTATAGTTCAACGATCATATAATGTCATTCAATTTCAAATTATCTGCAGTGATTTACATTAAGCTAATAATCTGATCATAAACTCATCAACTCTGAATTTCCATTCATATTTCATAGGCTACTGTCAAGACGGGTGTCCTGCTGTTTTAGACTCAGGATCACCATTACTTTCAGGGCCTGCAGTATGTTTTCGCAAACTTCATTCATTTGATATAATGTATTGAACATCTTATGCCCTTGCATATATCTCTTCCATTCGTACTCCCCATTCTAAAACTAGGAATTATTAAACTACTCTTCTGGATTCTCGTAAATTTTCAGGCTATTGTGATTGAGATCAACCACGCAATAGGAGCAAAAGGTGTCAAAAGCAAGGAATGCAAAGAAATAGTCTCCCACAATGGAGAGGCGATTTACAATCTTTTAGCATCAGGGGTCTCTTTCTCCCAACCCTTTTGATCCCTCTAAATTCCTTCTGATCTGAATCACCCAATACATGAAAAGGGTTAGAGAAAGTTTTTAGTTACCTACTAAAACTTCGATTTTTTCTATACTGCAGGTAAATCTTGATGATATATGTTCGCAACTCAGCTTGTGCCTCAACAATGGAGCTCAGCATATGAGGTTAGAAAACCATTTAAAACCCAAATGTCTGAAGTTGACAGCATTATTATGGACTCAGAAACAATGTTTTGATGAACTTGCAAACGAATTGAGTCACTTAGATAAGGACCACAGAGTCGCATGTACAGCTTCATTGTTTTCACTTGGAAAACCCTTACATGAAACCTAACTTATTCCAAAGAGCTGAGGATACAACTTTCACTTCGGAAAATGCATTCACTAATCTTTTCTTCTACTGTTAGATACAATTATACGACAGTTTGGCAAGATATTAGCTGAACCAATACTTTTATAATGTCCAAGCGAACACTGCAGATTTGTTCTACCAAAGAGTTCATACTCAATAACTCAACTGATCTTCAGGAAAAATCTCAAGACAGTTCAAGAAAGAAAAAACAGAAAAGAACTTTCATCAGTTGCCGATGACTTGCTATGCAGTGCCTGTCAGAAAATAGTGAATTGGATTCAGAAGCAGATGAAACAAAGAAAAACAAAGGAAGGAGTACTGAGATACGTTAGAAAGGTCATAATTCTTTTGCAGATCAGATTCCTTTCTTCTTATTTAAACTTCCGAAGTTGCATCCACAATAGGATTAATATTTGATTATCTGGTTTTTACTCCTTGCAGCTATGCTTTAGCTTTCCAGCTCCTCAAGGAGACGTAGAAGTTCCTTGTGACAACATCCCACTCATGCCAAACTTGACACTCACAATTGGAAATAAGCCTTTCACATTCACTCCTCAACAGGTACGATTGGTTCGTTCCTTTTTTTTTTTTTAAAAAAAAAAAAAAAAAAAAAAAAAAAAAAAAAAAAAAAAAAACTTTGGGTTAAGGGGAGAAATTAGAAGCCAATCTTGGAGAACGGATCAAACAATAAACTTAGGCAAAGAATCTAATTTTTACTATGTTAATGTCACCGAGTAAAATTGCAAATTTATCAGATAAAACCTATGTCACCTCCACAGAGTTTAAGCATATACATGACCTCCCTACCCATCCTAGATAGGAGCCTCTTTAGAAGCATTTGATTATGGTATTGATTGGGAGCTAATCATTCTTAAGTTTATTTGTATATAAGCGAACCTAGACCCTTGATGCCTCTTTTTGAATTGTTTCTTATATTTGTGTTTCACCCTCAATTTCAGTACGTTCGTTCAACTAGAAAGCACAATAAAATGACCTGCCGGAGCCAATTTTACGCGGTGGATCTACCATCACTTCCAGGCTCATGGTATGCTTAACTTGCCAGCTACTCGTACAATATACTAGTAAGTTGTTTTATTGGATGTAACAGAATTTTCCTACAGATTTTCTGATTGTTGCCTTTATCACAGGATCTTTGGAAATATATTCATGGGAGTTTACCATTCAGTTTTTGATTTTAGCAAACGACGAGTGGGTTTTGCTGAAGCAGTTTATTAGACTTGTAATCTCTGCAACCGAATTCAAGCGTCTTCATTTCTGCTCAATACTGGCTGTAGCACCTTATATTTTAAAGCATTCGGGAACAGCTTTACAATGCTAGTACTGTAACAACGGCTGGGTAGTTTTTGGATTTGGGCTGTTAAGTTAATAAATGTAAAAAATTACAAAAATTCTGAGGTATTTACTTCGTATTTTCCTACCCTGATAACATGTCATTTTTTGCATCTAAGGCCATATAATTTAGCAAATTTTCCTCTCTAGTATAGTCATCTTACTGAGCAATTTTGGACAAGCAGTTGGTCAAACAGAACAATAAAAATATGTACAACAGTGGAATATCTTGAACAAAGGGACTCGTAAATTTGATGCAAAACAATCTAGAAAGAGGCTCAGCAACAACTATGGATATAAGAAAAGGCACATAATATGGTGAAGTCGACAACAATTGAAACTGCAAAATAACAATCACTGATGATTTTCTAAATTCTCACACATGTATTCTAAATCCCAAACAACGGAAAAGAAAAAACTGAAACAAGCGGGGAAAATGTTATCTGATGCATCATTCAGACAGCCATGTATTTGCTCCACTGCAATATATAATCATCAGGACTCTTCATCACTGTCATTGCCAAAGATAGAGGCCACTGGTACTTTTGGCTTCTTAGCAGCAACACTGAATGAGCTCTGTCAAGATATAAAGCAGATTCAGACTTCATATAAGGGATATTAGGAAATAACCAGAGATTAAGTGCAATGTATCAAATATAATCACAATTTTACATACTTTAGATGTGCCACCTTTGGCGGAAAAGCCAAACTTCAATGCTTTCCTCTGATCAATATCGACAGGTGCAGTACCAGCTTTTGTTGGAGTACTTCCAGACTGCTCTTGCTCTTGCTCTTGCTCTTGCTCTTGCTCTTGTGTTTGCTGCTGCTTGCGAGCATCAGCACTGATAAACAAAAGATCTAGTATAAGTCACATAATAACAAAAAGCATATCAACTATATTTATTTAAAAATAAAAAAAAATTAAAAAAACATGCAATAACCTACATTTGGGCAAACTTGGCCATCTCCTTCTCTTGTCGTAGCTGTTCTCGCTTCAGCCGATCATCACGGTTGCTACCATGCATTTCTCTCATCTCCTTGAAGCGCTGAAAACACAATAATGGATTAAACTGGGAAACCAGCACAGAGATGAAGTGCAATGTATGAAATATATGCAGATTTTATTGTTTACCTTTCTGTGGTTGTGATCATAGGAGCTCAGGTGAGCTTCAAATTCCATAGCCAACTTGTATTGTTTGTTACACAGATCACAGAAAAATACTTTGTGTATTTCCTTCACCTCAGTCTGAATTTTCTGCTCCCGTTCTGCCAACACCTGATTTCAATATGTGCACGAAGCAGGCAGAAGAACCCACCAGGTAATAAAACTGCACGAAATTCTCAAGAGCTTCCAAAGTGGATGTTCGCTTATCCTAAACCATTCCCCTCAAAAGGCATGCATATATGCAATATGCTGCCTTCTGCTAATATATATAGGTTTCACAAAAAGTAATGAATCAAACCACTTTGTCTTACACTCTTTACTTGCATTAGAGAAACTACAAATAAATTACAATATGATGGAATACCTCTCTCTTTCTTGCAACTTCTTCTGTTTCCTCCACCTCAATTTCAAGCTTTTTGCGTTGTATATTTTCTTCTGCCGTAAAGTAATCATCTTCTTCTTGCTTTCCAATCCCTAGCTTTGGATCTCTCATACCTGATTTTATTGGCTCGGTTATACCTGAAGAGGTCAAAGGATAATAAAATCTTACAATGACAGACAGCAGTAAATCGACAGACAAAAAGGAATAAATCTTTTCATACATTAAATATTCAGAAAACCACAAATCTGCTGCACAAAGTTCTAGATGCTAAAAACCTCATATGTTATCCATCATGCCAAGTGCTTTGGAGTCATGATTATCAAAATGGTAGTTGTCTCTTCTTTTGACAAAGTATAAGATTTATCATATAACATGCCTAATTCAGCTACCATCTAAAGATTTAGATTTTTCAGGGAGAATAGTCTAGCACCAAAAGCCGTCATCTGGAAGACTAAAATTATTAGGGAGCCACTAAAATGTTTTCTCCTCCATTTGTGACAGGACTTCTCTATCACTGATGCTTTGCAATAAGAAAAATACAGATGAAATATTAGATCTCTACTTAGTTTATGGAATAGAGAGAAATCTGCAACAAGCTATCATCCATACCATGCAAAAAAATGTCACCAAGTATGATCTATCTAGTACAACATCCTAGCAATTAATAGCAAACCATGCTTGACAATAATAGTCTCTAAAGAAGGCGTCAATAGGTCAGATCACTTAAACAGAACTTATGGGAGATTTATGAAACTGAATCCAGTATAACTTAATGAACCATGTCATAACTAAGTATTCTTTTCACCCTAAGCACCTGGATTAAAAGGCCCTGGATAAAACTTATCAAACCAGATTAACCTGAATCTTATTTTTTTAAGGTAAAGAACAGGACCTAACATGCATAAACCAGCATCAATTGTAGACATATCAATTCTCATGACTTATGAGACTCGTAACTCAAATGACGAATTGAAATGCAGCTCCACAAGGAGGATGCAGATGTCAAATCGCTCGCACGCATGCACGCACGCACACACACGATGATGCAGATATCGAATCTTTCTCTCATACACAAACACACAATTGGTACATCTGAAGGAACACATACCCTGCTCATCCTTTCCCAGTCCCTTTCCTTTCCATCCCATTTTCTGAAGAAGCTTGAATCCGATATTAGATGATGACATTTTCCTGTCCTCTGATGCTTGTTCAACATTATCTAAATCAACATTCTCAGTAGGCCTGTGGTTGATTGGCAAGCGAAAGTCTTCGCGGAAATCATCACCATATAAATCCTGGTAAACAATTAGAGCCAACAATTCAAATTTTAAAATGATCCCTCAGAAGCATGAAGAAAAGGATATGTTGCACATGCAGCAGCAACCTAAAGGACACTAAACACCAACATTTTTCAATCAGATATCAAGTCTTCAGTATTCACTAAGCTGACGGCAGATTGGGGCTTAAACTATGATTAAAATTAGGCGCTTGGGTGGGGTCCCTTCGAAACGTAAGTGTTCGGAGGTACCAGGGAAGTACTCCAGCCTCGAGAAAGCGCCTTTGCTCGAGCGATATTCTGAAATCTGATTCTATCCATTCATGAGTCACTAAAACCCTATTCCCCCGGGGTCTATAATAAATGTAAGCGCATCTGGAACCCGAAAGCCCTATCGACAACACGGAGACTTGCATATGCCATCTAAAACGAGCGACGCGATGGGGGTAAAAAAAATCTAGCAGCTGGCAGTCCCTTATTCTCTTTTTCCAAAAGAAAATACAGGACAATTCGAGACAATGAATCGCAAGAACAGCCCTGAGAAAACCGAATTCGCCCCGCCTCAAATTCGGATTTTCGGAGGACGCGACCCCCAACCCATGGGGGGTGCACAACGGAGTAGCGAAGCCACGACTTGTGAGAAACTTATTTCGAACGCCGGCTGCTAGACCCTTAGAGCAGAGCGAAGTGGAGTTTGGCCCTCGCCCGGGAGGCTACGGGGATATTCAATGCTCTTACGGGACTGTCGTACATACACAGTTTTTGAAGCTTTAAATTCAAGGAATTCAGATAAACTGTTTAACAAAGCCTTGAATTTAAAGAATGTTAGCAATTTTTAGGAAATTAATAACTCATATAAGAGGCACAACAAAAATCACCGTGGTTCTTAAAAAATTATCAAGTATCTAGACACAGTTCCTGATGTAAATGAGGAATAATCATTCATGATTTAGGTCGTAATTAATCAACGTGGGTTAAAACAGAGCACACTTAATGCCCTAACAATTTAAACCTCATGTGAGAAAATTCTTTACCTCTTCCCTATCGTGTTTTTTGTCTCGCATGCTTGACTCTGCTGCACTGTATTTCCATCTACGATCCATTTTGAATCTGTAGCATAACAAAATACAAAGAAATTCACTCCTCCTCTGATGATTATTGTCCAACAAACTTGTCCTGTTTTCAGTTTCAATATTAAAGTATAAAACACCTTCTTAGCATCCACCAATAACAAGCAATGAATGAAATATGAACCCAACAACAGCAAACCCTTAGTCCCAACATGGAATGTAAATTAAGCTTCTAAATGGTTTCTTTGAGATCATTACATTTTCCAGTCAGATGACAGCAATTAAAAGTTCTTGTATAGCCAAATTCCATGGATTTTTGCTTCCCAGATATAATTGTCAATTTCTAGAGCTACCATAGATTCTACCAACAATAAGCAGGTGTGTATTAAACATATGCAGGTGATAGAATGCCTTTCAGTAGGAAAGCAGGGTATTACTTGGTTCCAGTTGAAAACCCTAATTGGAAATCCTGCTTCATAGCATCCTGCTCCTACAATTTCAAATAACATATGAAACATTTCGATTGCCCAAGTACAAGTTATCCTATCTACTTCTTCCAATCACAAACACTCAACTAATTGAACACGCAATTTACAATAATCATAGGCAGTTCTCAGTCGTCAAACATATCCCTGAGCTGGAATAAAAGCACAAACATATGATGACCTCCTTATATCCATCCACTTACAATTTACAATACCATCTACCCTCCACGATACGTGCCATCTACCATCAGGATCAAAACTTGATTCTCATACCCTTAAAAAAAAAAGCATAATATTCCCCTCCACAATCTAAATACTGTTCTTCATATGTATTAAAGCACAGAACAAGCATGAAGAAACACATAAATCAACTCTGCTTAAAGCTAAAGTTCTTTTAAATTGTTTAATTTTTCTTCAGTGTTCACTCTAATAATAAAACTTGAATATCATACCATCAAATTTCTCACAAAAATATCCTCAATTTCAGCAAACCGCTTGCTATTGTTGCTAATACCAACTTTAAAAGAAGTTAAATCAATACTCAACCCATCAATACTCCAATCAAATAAAAAAGATTCAAAATTTTCCGACGAAAACTACCAACAAACTAGATGGGTAATTCAATTTCCAGCCAAAAGAAAATTAAAGAGCAAAAAAAGTAGCTCAGATTAAACTACAAATCAAAATCAAGCGTTAATCAGCTTCTAATTAAGTAAGTACTAAACAAAAATCATAGTAGTCGAGGAAACCCTAAATTAAACAATTTCAAATCTTACCTTTTTACAAGAATTAGGGGGAAAATTAAATTAACAATTCGAAGAAATTCATGAAAAAGAAATAAAATTAGTAGGTTAGAAATTAAACTTACCAGAAGAGCAACGACCAACGTCTTGCTCGTTATCTCTCTCTTAGACGCTGTGTATTTGTTCAAACTCTGCGTTTCAGAAAATGTTCATTTTTTGTAGTCTGTTATGAGTGTTATCCATCTTATTCGCACGTTAGAAGGGTTTGTAATACCGTATGTCCGTATCCGCGTACTCCATATCTCATACTATAGCTAGGTGGGATACCGAGGGTTGTTTGGAACATGTTGTTATTGGTTTTTTCCGTAAGGCATTTTAAGTTTTTAACCCTTGCGGAAATTGATTAACTTCAATAAAAGCCCTTTGTCATGGGTTGAGCGCAGATTGCTTGTGTGGCGCTTGAATCCCCAAGATTTAATCCACGTCAGTCTTCCTCATATGCATAACAAGGTAATAAATAGAGGAAACAACAAACGATGATGCTAAACTGCACCACAAACACATGCATCAATTAGGCACATAGGCACAGGGAGGTTGCCTCATATGGGACTTGCTGTGCCAGGGCATTGGAAAACTGTCAGCACGTGACACCTTGCTATCTTTCCTTAAAAATAAAAACAAGTTTCCAACTTTGTTCACATCCCTTCCCTTTCTTACCAACCCTTGATCCCTTGTCCTCGTGCAACCAAGCAAATGATTGATGCCAAACACAAGGACGGTTGGTAAAGCTTCCATCTTATTTCAAAGGGGAAAAAAAATCATAGTAAGAGTTACTCCCTCTAATTTGTTAGTGTCAATTTTGATCAATGATAGGAAGAGGAATACCTTAATTATTAATATGTAATACATTATAAAGGTATTTGAAAATTGTATACTAAGACAATTCTAACAATTATGTATGATATGCTTAATAATATTTACTCTTTATAAAGCATAAATATTGGTCGTACGTAAATAGTACAAAAGTCAAAATGGAATACTTAAAGAGGGTTTATTTTGTAATAAGTTCTGATAAGATAGAAAACATAAGTTTAAATCGGATAAGCTATTCTCCATACATAAAATATAAGTTTTTGATAAAGGTTAATAGGGCTTATTCAAGGTTATTAATTTAAAATTACCACTAACATAAGGTTAATATATAAGAAGTAAGGAATTAAAATTTGTTGTTATTTTATTTAAAGAGAATAAAACTATTTAGTCTAAATTGAATTTTGTCATAAATAAGAAGCACAAACTATGTTGTTTATGGGTATTCACTTTGTACATTTTAGGTTAATTTGCATTAGATTTGAGCATTTTATTCAAATGCAGATATTTTCACGAAAGATTTTTCTTGAGTCTTGACTACTATTCCTTGACATCATATTTGGTCAATCATACACCACATGTGCACTCCTCTGGTCCTCCCGTTGAGGGTGCGAGATATAATAATGTGTTAGGATATATTTTTCCTACATGTTATAAAGACATTTTTTATTTGTGTAATTACATAAAGTTACAGTACTATTTTCAAGAGTTGTACTCCAAATAAAATTAAAATTATACTCCAATGAGTGCTACATATATTTGATTAATTTTAGGAGAATTAGGGGAAAATTACAAAATTCTACAATAATGTAAGCAAGTATTAGGTGTTTTTGTTAGACTAACTTTACTTAGTTACCAATACATTTTAATATTAGTGTTGATAATTCGACTCGAATTCAAAAGATAAGAGTCATTGAAATAATTTAGTCCCGTAGAACAATAGCTAGATGCATGCATTGAAATCTTGAGGAAGTTTCTTAAGACCTAACACCTTAACTAATGTTGGAATCTAGAATTATTTCATCAACGTACATGCTAACTCATACTACGTACTGAATAATACATAGTACTTTGTAGTTGTCAAGAAACTTAAAAAAAAATACACTAACATCTTTTTGACCAAATTAGGTAGAAAAATTCACACGTTTAGAAGCAAAATTCGTCTTAATCAATCTAACAAAAACCATGGAATAATTATACATTAAAGTTTTGGGATTCTTTCCAATACTAATTAAAATTAATAAACGTGATTACAGCAGGAAATCTTAAGAAACATATGGAGAAAAGCAAAGATATCTTTATTTAAAATTAATAGTTTCGTTGTGATCTTGAGTACTATGAAAAGAGATTATGTACTATACTGTTAAGAACTTTTATATTTCGAGAAGTATTATTATATAATACACTTCTTTAATTAATACAATGTATTTGACAGTGGTATATTTAAAAGATCGAATTTGTTATAAATTATTCCTAAAAGAGGAAGTAGAACGAACAAGAGTTTATATTGCTAATTAATTCCACATCTATAAAAGTATTTTGTTCTTGTAAAAGTGCTAATGATATTATTGTGAATCTTATTACACCTAGAATAGATAAAAGTTTTCGTTGTTCATGTTTAAGTTATCACAATATTCACTAGCACTAGTGCTTGTTAATTCTATCTTTTTGTTTACCTACTTTAATCCATAATAGGAATTAAGGTATCGCGATCAGTAAGCAACTAGCTAATGAGTTTTTAAAAACACAAAATTTTCATTTTACACGTTGCGCCATTAGTCATTGATGATTCGAATGAGATTATTGACAGTGTGTATATATATGACTTTACTAACCCATGTATTAATAACATTCTTCCTTGAGTTTCTTCTTTCTTTTTTACTTGACATAGACTTATTTACTATTTACGATCACTTTATACGGAGTATCATCTTTTGTGACACAATAGGAAAAATATAGTCATGTAAAATATTGTTTGAATCATTTTAATAAGTCTTTTTAAAAAATTTACTCAATAAAAATTAAAGATATTGATGATTATATACTCCGTATATGAATTGGCAACAATTTTTATTTGATTAATTATAGTGTTTCCTACAATTTCAACTAACTTGGCAGTTATAAGTGACACTACTCCCTTTCATTAATTTTACCACCTCTGTCTACGCTGTTCATGTTGTAACTTAAATTTGAATGTAGGATGAACACCCTCAGCGTTAATTCGTTATGTGCCAACAATTTTTCCTTTTAATTAATAAGCAGAGTTCAATGAAAATGACATATTATTAAAACATATATATATATAGATGTCAATTTTTTTTTTATTTTTTTTTATTTTTTTTTTATTTTTTTTTGTCAATTGAAGTGCATTGTTTACCTCCTACAAAAAAGGAGTCAGAAAGATTAGGTACTTGACCAATACTTAATTAATTTTATCAATTATACTCCCTCAAAAATTAATAAATTTATACCAAGTATGCAGCAACTCTAGCTAGCTAGCTTAAGGGGACAAAGATTTCTAGTTCACCATGTATAAATAATAAATCCCTAATTAAATCTCACCACGTCAAGGAACATATTTTTAATTAGATTCGTAGCTAATCAATTAGGACATTTAATAAGAAGGTTAATTTATATTAATTGTATAATATAGGCTTTTCCTTGAACGAGTAGTTTAAGTTTGGCTAGCTAGGCCGGATAAAGAATATAATGTGTTAGGTCTACCAGATAAAGTTATCCTTGATAATGATCTAAGAGAACATTTAACGCAAAATAACCAAAAAAAATTACTTCATAATAATTACTTTATACACAAATCTATCAATTTAAATCTTTATCTTATATATACGGAGTACTCGTATAAAATTTTACACCATCTTACATCTCCTCCTCATGCGGTAACCTTTAATGATAAGATCGAATATTATTCTTCTTATTAAGCACAAATTTTAATCAAACTTGGCTAAGCAAAAAGAAAATTAGTGAAGGTTACTATCTTCGATTAATTTATCAATGAAGACTTATTAATGACAATCGTAAATTGAGAATCAAATTAAAATTAAATTTCCCTATAAAAATTACATTCTCTTAAGCTTAGATATCTATTTACAATAAAAACAAAATTCACAAAACTTTGAAAGTCTTTAATAGTTTTGAGTACTACGAAGTATATACTAAAAATAGTAAATAAAAAAAATATGCAAAATAGAAAGAATTCTGCTGCACTTTCCTAATTGAAACAACCCACTCAATAAATTGTTCGAGAATACTCCAATAACAACTGTAGAAGCACAACAAAGTACTCCGTATTGGTTAATTTATTAATTTATTATTATTGCCCACCTAATTGTGCTTACTAAACAAATTAAGCACAATCAATCTCCACCGTCAAACAATGATTGATCCAACGGTCTACATCTCTAGATTCTCTACTATACCTCTCTTTCTTAACATTCTCCCTAGTATAAATGCATGTAGCAACCCATGCAAATTCTAAACCAAAAAACTTCATTCTTCAACATTTCAAAACACTTTCATTTATTTCTTGATAATTTCTTCAATAATCATATTATACATAACAAATTAGAAGGTGATTAATTAATTAAAATGGGCGGCGGTAGTAGCAAGCAATCTAGGAAGGGTAACACAAGAAACATGTGGGATGAGCCTACACCACGGCGAAAGGTGTTCCCTAGCGACGAAGATAGAGGTTATTGGGTGGCCGAGCCCGGGATTGACCGGAAAGCATCGGCTTTCATTGCTAAATTTCATGAAGCACGTAGGTTTGAAACTCAATCTATGGCGATTCCTACTAATAATTAATAATGATTAAGTTTGTAATATATTTGGAAGTTGCAAACAGTTGCTAAATATAGTACTGTTTTACGATGACCACTTATAAAACTTAAACTTAATTAAACGACCGTATTCAATGGTACGGTACTATTCCTTGTACTATATATTAGATAATCTAGCCTTCTTGAAAATAGAGGTATTCTTTTTATATTATTATCTTGTTGATCGAGTATTATCTTAATGTAAATGTTAATTAAATTGAAATATGTTAGTAATAACATCCATATCATCTATGAATAATTCTGGCTAATGTCATTTGTTAATATCTACGGTATTTTTCCAATCAAATAGTACGTTGTGGTGATATATAGTACATAGCTAGCTAGCTTGATTGGGTTGTCCACGAGGTTGTGGAGCACGTACATACATCTCTTTGATCTTTCGTAGGCATTCAACTCCATTGGCTACTTCGCGATAGAAACTTAATCACCCTCATTATCGAAAGCTCAACTACAAATTAAATGTTAGTTGATGGAAATATCAAAGCCGTTTTATTATTTAAAAAAGACTAAGGAGTGAAGTGATTAATA